CCACACCCCTCCATCTCCTCCTCCTCCTCCTCCTCCTCCTCCTCCTCCTCCTTTTCCTCTTCCACCGCCGCCACTTCCTCCTCAGCAGCAGCCGCCGCTATTGCCGCCACCGCCGCCATCGCCGCCGCCGCCGCCGTCGCCACCGCCACCCCCACCACAACCACCACCACCACCACTCCAGTAACAGCGCCGTCGTCACCACCGTACCTCCCGGCCCCTCTGGCCACGTGCGTGTGTTGCTCTTCTGATTGTGTGCACGCGCGCAAGCGCGCGTGTTCCTCTATACCCGCTTAGTTCTCAGCGTCTGTTGTGCGCGCGCGCTGGTGTTAGTGTTCTTGCGAGTGCCAAGTGCGTGCGTGTGCGTGTGTTGGCGCGCGCGCACATGCGAGAGAGAGAGCTAGTGATCGGGTTTTCGTGCACTGTGCTCGTCGTCGTGGCTGCTCTCGCGTGTGTCGCGCTCGCGCGCGTCTGCGTTTCTGCTTGCGCCCTGGCCGTGTTGTTGCCGCCGCAGCAGCTGCTGCTGCCGCCGCCGCTGCAACCGCTACTGCTGCTGCTGCTGCCGCCGCCGTCGTCGTCGTCGTCGTCGTCGTCGTCGTCGTCGTCGTCGTCGTCGTCGTCGTCGTCGTCGTCGTCGTACGTCGAGGAGAAACAAGGTTGCAGCCTGGCAGCGCTGGACAGTGCCCGAGGAATATGAAGAGAAGAAATGCTGAGTGCGGCAAGCTCCGGAGGCCCTTGAAACGAAACAAAATCACCGAAGGAATCTATGGCAGGTGAGCCTTGCAGATAGTGTCTTCGATCAAGTTTGCCTTGCCGTCAGTCAAGGTCTCTACGTACTTTGGACGAACGTTCCTGTGACTTCGTGTTCGCGAGTTCCTTCATGAAATTCGCTTACTTGCTTTTACGACTTTTACGAATATCTGTGCGAAAATCTGTGCGAAACTTGTGCGAAAACCTGTCCGTGCGTTAACAGAGATATGCATTCGTACACAATGGCTACGTTATATACATCTTTCCCTCTCTCTTAAAAATAACCAAAAAATCATGCATAATATTCATTGTAGATCTTTGGCGCGATCTTACTTAGCTAAGAGGGAAAGGATGCAGGATTCGTTATTCTGTTGCCTCAACCCTCATTTTCTTTTGCTACGTATCTGGCAACTTTACCCGAATTATAGCGATTCTCATCTCTCTTTCACACTCTCTCTCTCTCTCTCTCTCTCTCTCTCTCTCTCTCTCTCTCACTCTCTGTTTGGTAGTGTGCGCGAACTCTTTATCTCTCCCCCTTGCCCCCTCGATAGTTCTCTCACTCTCTCTCTCTCTCTCTCTCTCTCTCTTTCTCTCTCCGTTCCTCCCACCCTCTCCTACCCCCTAGTTAGCCCGCGCTCTCTCACTCTTACTCTCTCGAAACTGCAGACTTGTTTACGAGAATTCTAAGCTTTGCTTTAATTAATAAATGAGCCTTTTTTTTTAATTTCGACGAAATATTTCTAACTCGTAGTAACGATATCTAAACTCAATTTCTATTTTTACGATTTTAAAATCTTATGGTGTAAGCGATGCGTGCTTTTCATACCTATTAAATTCACCCAATTTTCTTACTTGAATTTAATCGTTTTATTATAAATTAAAATTTTATTCCTCTACATTGCTTTTCGCAAATTTTTGAACTTTTTATAACACTAGCATTGTTATGTATATGAGGTGCCTTTTCACACTAACATTGCAACGATATAGTTTATCGCATATTACTGGCATATTGTTAAACAAGCATCCGAGATGCTCAACAATGTATGCAGCTTTAATAAATAAAGAGCATGTAATTTGCATTAAGAAGATACAATAGGTCAATGTTTTAACAACATTATTTCCTAGATCTTTCTTACAGTCTCTGATTTATTTGTAACCATTGTTATTATTATTTATTGTTTAAATTTATTCTTCATTTGCATTGATTAGAAATTAGAAAAGTATTTAAATATTTACACAATATTTTGTAATAATTGTAAATCATTAAATTTCTTTTTAAAAAAAAAATGTATAACTTTTGCATCATAAAGTATTAAATTGTTGTTGACTTGTAGGTATTATTATTATATTGCTACATATTATTGTGCCACATCGATTTAAAGTATTATTTAATAATAGAAAATCATTTGTAATTTTCAGTACAATATTATATCTAAAGTTTCTTCTACTATGGGCCCTGGTGATCTTAGCAGACTTCATTTTAGAATTCCGTTTTGAATTTCTATGGCCATTTTGGCTATTACTTCGAAGCGTTTACGATTCTTTTAAGTATCAAGGTTTGGTAAGTAGAGTGGGACTCCAATAATCTTTATTACGTCACTTGAATGCGAATGAAACTTATTGACAAGATGCTATATTTCAGGCTTTCTCTGTATTTTTTATTTGTATTGCACTTACGTCGGACATGATTTGTTTTTTCTTCATTCCTGTGCACTGGCTGTTCTTTGCAGCCAGTACGTACGTTTGGGTGCAGTATGTATGGCATACGGGTACGTATACGTCGTCGAATTATAAATTCAACTGATAATCTAATAAATCCCAATGAAGTTTTAAAGTAATAAAGTATATTTTGACTTATAGATAAAGGTGTGTGCTTGCCAACTGTGATGTTGTGGCTACTGTTTCTCTATATAGAAGCAGCTGTGCGATTAAGAGATCTGCGTCATATGCCATTTCATTTAGATCTGTGTAGGCCATTTGCAGCCCATTGGTAAGCATAATCGACAGGCATTAAAATAGTTTTATTTACATGCGTAGTGTACTTAAATTATTGTTTTAGCATCGGCTATCCGGTAGTAACGTTGGGATTTGGTTTCAAAAGTTACGTTGGCTATAGAATGAGACAGGTTTGTTGACAATCGTGCCTTGTCTTAACAAAAATTAATTAATAAAATAGCTTAATGGTTTACGATATATTTAATTTTATTTCCATGTTGATTGTCAGAGGAAGCAAAAAGATGTAGCTAAAGAGAATGAATTCTACTTACAATTACTGCAGCAAGCGTTGCCTGTGGAACAGCAGGCGACCAATTTGCAGCAACAAATGCAGTCTCATGCGCAGTTGCAAGTACCAATATCTACTGTGTCGGTGGAACAAAATGTTAAGCCCCATAGGCCAAATTCGCAATACAATCCAAGTCCAGAGAAAAGTAGAGGTAGCTTGTATTTTTCCCAATTTATTTATCAGTTATAATTTTGTTGCTCGTAAGGGAGATTATTAGTAATCATCGATATTAAATGGATAATTAGATTAAGAGCGAGAATTGAATTTATAAAAATTGTTATGCTCGTGTTCTAGGAATTGGCAATGCCTCTGTAGATACAAGTATACAAAATGGAGGAGTTCACAATAATACACAAATAACGTCACAAGCACATAGTGCGATAAAAAATAATCAGAGGAAATCTCTCGATAAAGGGGAGAAACTGGAGGACCAACACAATAAGCATAATACCGAAAAATTGTCACAATCTGAGAAAAATGACAAAAAGTATGCACACACAAATGGTATTACTGTATCTTCCACGGAATTACAATATATAGAGAGGATTAGGTAAGCCTTGACAACGCTGCGCTTTCCAAATGTCCCATATACCTATCCGAACAGAAACTAATGTTATTATTGTATTATTGTAGCATTGTGCTCGGTATTTATAAATTCTTCAAATTCATTTGTTTCAGTTCTGTAAATGATTTTGACATTAATGAAATAGAAAAAGACAAATCGGTTAAGGGTTCTGGACATAATTCTGTTAAAACTCAATCTAATGGTTCGGCGACTAGCAAGTGGAATAATGTCAAAGAAAGTAAAGACACGTCAAATAATACGAATAATCAGCGAGAGAGAAAAGGACGGCAGGCAAAGGTACCGACTGAAACAATAAACGAGCAACAGAAGCAACAGGATGAATATTGTCAGAGGTACATTTAAGATTTATTGATTTATTCATTGATTGCTCTTGAGAGTTCGCTAAATTAATTATGATAAAATATTTGGAAATAGGTTACTCGTTTGTCGTAGGCTCGAAGCAGATATTAAGCGATTAAAATCGGACTTGCAATCAAGTCGACAGGTCGAACAAGAATTACGATCTCAAGTTAATACGTTGTTAAGTGTTGAGCGACAAGCCAAAGGTGATATTCAGCAACTTCAACATGACAATGATCAGTTGCAAAGCAAGTGAGTCGCTATTATTCAAAATTAAAGGGACGAACGTCTTTTCAGATTATAGTTTAAAATTTTCTCAATAATCTGAATAAAATCTAAATCTAAAATCTAAATTCTCTATAAAATCAAGTAAAATACTCTCAAATGTTGTATCGGGCTATCTGTTACATTAACTTCTTTAAGCTCGCAGTGCAAGCGTACACGCCACGAATACGCAGTAATTAAAGCGACTAAGTTAATGACATATAAATATCAGGACAATAATCAATAAAATTTAAATATAATTAACGAACGTCCAAAACTGCCCGTCGCACATCCATTATATAAAGCCTAGTGATCCACTGCTAATGAAAGTTAATGAAAGCGCATTCGCGAAACGTCCATTGGTTGTTGACGTTTACGTTAAATTTTTATCCGAAATAGTCACTGACTCTCTCTCTCTCTCTCTCTCTCTCTCTCTCTCTCTTCCCTCGATTGTCTACGTAACAGAGTACATGGATTGGTAAGCGCCCGACAACTGGACAAGCAGACAATGACCTCCCTGGAACGACGGATAGCCGACGAGAGAAGACAGCGCACAGCCTGCGAAGCTTCGCTGGCGTCCGAAAGAAGAGCGCGACGTGCTGCTGAGGAGGCACGTTCCGCGATTCCACCCTCGCCACCAACCCTCGTCCGCCAGGAATGCACGGACGCGTGTAAGACTCGAAGAGCTCAAATGGAACAAGATCTCAAAAGCTTACGCCGAGAACTGAAAACGAAAGAAGATAGGTAAGACGGACAGCAGGACGTTTATTGGATTTAGAACAAGGAGGTGGAAGCACGAGTGTTTGTTTGTTTAAATATTAGCTGGAGCACCTATTCGCGCGCTATTTTTTTTTTTTTTTTTCTTCTTCTTTCCAACGACGAAACGTTTAATTTTACAATAGGCTGTCTTCCTAAGCTCCTACCACTACTTAATGAAATAATATATGGTTTCATTGAATAAAATCGATGTGCGTTTTTCCAAGCACCAACATATAGCATCGTATAAATTCAAAATTTTAATAAAGATTTATTTATTTATTGCTTTCTTGCCGAGCAGAGGATAATACTTTCAGCCTTGACTACAGAGTCTAACGTTTAACTAAAGTAACAGTTTATGTTAAAAAGGGGATATAATATTAAGCGAAATGACGCGAATTGTTTCGATTGTTTTCCTTAGTTTTATTATTTTTTTTTTTCTCAAAATTTTTTAAAAAAACATAAGGTGCGTATTATGTGTTCATTCATTAAAAAAACTTACAATTTTCATTTTTATAATTACTCATTGATTTTTTATGTTCACAGGTTAACCTTTTTCTAATATTTTTTCTAATATAATAATAAATTTTTCATTATAATTATATATATATATATATGTTAACGTTTTTAAAACATTAAGTAATAAATAGAAATTATATATTATTAACGTGTGGCCATTAAAAATCATTTTGTTTATTTTATTACAGTAATTAAACCGTTTACAATTTTGAAGTAAAAAATATGACAATTCACTCTTATTACTTGATAGCGTATGACTAAATTTAAAGACTATTATTATTTTCCATACTTATTATGCATTATCTTATTCAATTATTTTTATATGCATTAAGTATAATTTACAATTGCAAAAAAAACTCTTGACTTTCTAATAAGCTGAGAGATTTAGAATTCATAAAGCTTGGAAACTCAATTAAAACAGTATGTCATGTTCGATGTACGATAACTTGATGAATTCATAATTTTATTGTACGACAGGTGCATGGCTTATGAGAAAGAAGCGACTCGTTGTAAAGAAAATCACAGTGAACCTGAAATTATACTCGGAGCACTGAATGCACTTCAAGACAAAAATACTCATTTGGAGAACAGTTTAAGTGCAGAAACTCGAATTAAACTGGATCTCTTCTCAGCTCTTGGCGAAGCCAAGCGCCAGCTAGAAATTAAGGAGAGTAAGTACATGCATAAATAAAATTGTTATTTTTATCACAATTTAAGGCCATTTAAAATCTTTGCCCTCTTGTTATCTATTTTCTTCTTTCTTCACTTCCTTTCACATCCAATTAATGGCAACGACAATTATTCTTATTGCATGATTATCTCATTTATTTATTTTCTTTTAATTTCTTTTATTTTGATTAAATACGAGCATATAAATTATAATATTTCTCTCTTTCTATTTTCTCTTTCATTTTGGAATAATAATTAGGTCTCATTCGATCGCAAGAGAAAGAGATTGACATTTTAAAGGCTAAAATAGCACAAGACTTAGCTGTTATGCCACAAGATACGTTTGGTCCAACTCCTACGTGTTCAACGTCAAAGCTTCGTTTGGGCAATGACGTACGTATGGGGAATTCAAAAATTCGTGCGAATGAAAGTCCTTGCCCAGGCTGTACTGTATCGAATTTGGATCCCAACGCAACAGCATATACACCTAAAGGATCATTGGTAGCATCTACCGAAGCTTGAAAACCACGTTTCTAATATTGGTAAAGCTCTCATCAATGGAGCAGGGTGTAGATCGTTGAAGCGCGTTTCGTTTGGAGATAATATCATTTTACCGATAAAAATTACTACTTATTATTATTTAATAATCATGCGCTTAAGGTCAAAACATTAATTTATAAGAAACATGGAATTTTGTCTCTCTAAACTTACATTAATAATAATATCGAAGATTTATATAATTCTTATTTTGCACAAGAAAACATTAAGAAACACGATTCATATTGTCTACAACCAAAGTATAATTAAAAATGCTGGATGTATAGAACATGATTAATCACTGGTATTGTAAATTTCCAATCACCAGTGTCACTTGACTTTAAAGCTTCAATGCTGTGGGCTGATTTTACAAGCGCTGTTTAAAATCTTGTGATAAAATTAATTCATACAATTAGATTTTATTTATTTTACAATAGAGTTACATAAGTAAGGTCGGCGCGACAACTCTTGACAACGCTCAAAAGCTTATAATTCATTACGTACATAAGAAAAATTGTTAAATATAAAATCAGAAAACAATTTACCATTTTAGAAGTTTTATAACAGTTGATAAAATCATCTTACAGTATATGCCTCAAACGCGTTATGACGGCTTGCTAAATAAGTTTTACACAAGTCGCATTCCGAAACTAGTCCATCAAACAAATTATATTTTAAAAATAACCAGCAACTAAACCATCACAAGTCATAAGTCATTATTAACAAACATCATTCATATAATGGGAAAGGTAAAGCGTAGAAAATTAACACATCACTAATTGAACGAAGGAAAATTCATCGGTAAGATAAGAACGGAAGTTTCTAATATTAATTGAAATTAACACTATGTCGTGCTGTTCGTTTCTCGAACAACTCTGCTCGTTCCAATTTATCAAACTTCGACATTTCTTTCTATGAATCTTAAAGAAAAACAAAACAAAACAAAACAAAACAAAAATCAAATAATAAATAAAAATATTCATAAAGAGCAAGTGACTCTTGTCCGTGCAGTCGAAAATAATTTTTTGAGATACATACATCTGACATACATACAATCGGTACCATTTTTTGTGCTGTGAAGAGAAAGTATACCAAGGCAAATTACATAATTGTCGTCAGCAAGCGCATCACATTACCTACAATCAAACTTCCATTGATTTAACAACATATTTATTTATTCTTTCTTTTCATATTAATTAAATTTATTTTACAAATGTAATTTAATTATGTTAAATTTTAAAATACTTATAAAAAAATACACAAATAATATTACGTACAATCTTTATCGATATTACATTATCATTTTCATTATGTGACTATTACGTTTTTGTTTATTGCCTTGATACATTTTCCCTGTAAATGTCTTTACAAATAAGTAACTATTGGAACGATTTTGTATAACTTGGAATTATTAGTCATCGATTAGAAGCGATTGAGTTAAAATTAATTAACACTAATTAGTTAAGTTATGCGTTTTTATGCCACTCTTCCATGGCATTCGAGAATATTTAATTAGCAAATCCTCGAATCTCGCAAATAGCTTAAAAATTTTCTGGCTAAAGGTTCTGATTGTGGTTCGCTTCTATAACTTGTCATGTTTTCAGTTTTAATTATCAAACGCCCGATAAACAATATTATCCTTCCTATTGTTTTATATAAGAACTTATAACGGATATAGCGTTTTCTATGTATTTGCAGTAGCGGAAGGTAAAAAATTTTATTATTTTTTTTTTATATCCATTATGATTTCGAACTTGGGTTAGGCTATTTTGTAAAATTATAAAATTTTTATAAGTTATTGTGAGGATAACAGCGAAAGGGCGTAAATATTTTAATATCCTATACACATTACCCATTTTTCCTACGTTTTTTTTTTCTCTCGCAATTCAATTTATTATTCAAATTCGGCAAACAATAATCTTTTCGCTGTGCTTACTTGTCGACAGCAGCTCATAATAATTCATTTTCAACATAATACAATGACATGGAATCGAAACCACAGCCAACAAAGTCAACCTAAAGCAGTTCCGCAAGCACAAATATGATTAGGATAAAATTTACGTAAACAGTGTAATCTTTCCCTTTCCTTGCCATGCAGAATCATTTGTTTAATGCTAATGATATAGAATTACGTACCCACTTGACAATCGTTTCTCTTACTTATATAATTTTTAAGATTTACAGTCTTGTATTATTAAAAGACTTATACTTATGAAAGTATAGGAAAGAAAACTCATAGGAAAGCAAAGCTCCGCATAATGATTTTTATTCCCAATTTTAGTGTACTTCCAGATTCAAGTTTAGATTCAAGGCTGATAATTTTATATTCTAGATTAATGATGTTAGAAAAAAATTGGTTTAACTCTAGAATGAGTGGAAGAAAGAAACGATTTGCCTCATTAGTATATACTCATACTTTCAGACTGAAACATCGCACGTTTATAACTCGTTAATAATTATACTTTCAGTACAACAAATTCAGAAGCGAGGTTTTACAAAATAAGAGAATGAAATCGCATCATACATCCGCACGCGCGTACCGTTTTGATAATGAAATAGGCAGAAACAGACTTATTTTTCTATTTTCTAAATATTCATGCGATCCGATGATAAGAATATAAGATATTAAATAAAACCAGTGACAAAAAGAATATAATAATAATAAGAAGAAGGAGAAGAAAGAGAGCGAGTGAAGAGAGATAAGGTAATTTGTAACGAAAAGTGTAACGATTCATGCCACTCGAGCAGCATTCATTTTTCTCATAAAGCATTGTAAAGGATACATGCACAACATCCTCATTTAAGTGCGTGAAGGCATTCGCGAAGCACAATCATAATACAAGTGTACAAGGTTGTTATTATAATGTAAGAAATCGTTTCCTATTAGTTTCGCATAAGCTTAATTAATGTCTTAATTACGAGTATGGTTATCAATAATGGATGTATAAAGCGTTCGTTTAAAACAAAAACAAAACAAAAAAAAAACAAACAAAAATCCACAAAAACAAACAAACAAACAAAACAAAACAAGGCTACTAAGCATCGTCGTTATTAATGTAAAGGACAAATCGAATTTACTGTAACTACGCTTGTAGTTTTTCAGTCTTGTCAATTATTTATTTTCAAGTTAAATAATTTTCTTTCTTAACTATATGTCGAGCCTAATGTTTCACCAATGATTCCTTTCCATCATATACAATCGGTTCACTTTAATTCGACATGGCCGGCGATATGATATATTTTTCTCAATGTATGCGGTACAACTTTTTTCGTATCATTATCATTATGTTTATTCTTACTGAATATCGCGTTGATGCGACAACAGGCAATACATAATATACAAGCCCTGTTAGAAACTTTTATACAAGTGTTCATTAAGCGAGACGAGTACTTAATTGTTTTTCATCTATTATCATTTACATTACTTTTTATATGAATGTGAGCATTGATTTTTCATAATAAGTACATTAGTCCGAAGCTAGCGAGCACAAATATTAATATATTTTGCAGTTGCCTGCTTCCGTACGACTATTCGAAAGACTTGAACAGGTATCGTATAGGATTAGTTATTGTTTACCTTCAAGTTTCATATTATTTTACAATCATAAAAGCGACAATAAAATACTCGGAAAAGCATTCTTACATAAATGTAAAACTTAATTTTTTAGAAATTTAAGCCAATAATTAGTTATTACAATTGAATATGCAGAATTAAAATATTTATTAAAAATTAATATTTTAATTTGATGTAATTACTAGTTTAATAAAAATTGTACGAACAACATTTTCCGTTGAGTTTAGAAAATGTATTATTATTATTATTATTATTATTTTTTTTTTTTCTATTTTTTTATTTATTTTTTATTATTATTATTATTTTATTTTATTTTATTTTTTTTTTATTTTTGATTTTTATTATTTAAACGTTTGTTTTAATAATGAACCTAGTGCATTGGTAACTCACATAAAAATTTCAAACGAATTTAATTATAGAAAAGATTGATTAATAACTATAGTAAATAATTTGTCATAAGCCTAGTTATTTATTATATTATTAATTATCTAATTTTGTTTACATTAAGCCGAGGAGTACAAAGAATAAAAATGCAGTTTAATAAAGCCCATTATTTTAGTAAATTTAAACTATTTCTCATCATTGATTTTATTTAAAAATAGATTCTTTAGTCTCCGAGGTGTGTATATGGGCAGTGCATAACATTTTAAATTGTCGTTAAGGCATAATGGCATAACAATGAATGAGTACTTTCGATAAGGAAAGTGTCTCAGAATTTAATCCTGCTGCACAAAATGATCGATCCTTTTTTCCAATTGGGATTAAGCGTACGACGAGCTTTCAAACACTTTTACTATGTACTTACATACCTGTTTTTTTTAATTAGATATAAGTTAATAGCAAAGAGCGACATGGTTTTGCCGCTGTATTGATCTCACAGGTCGTTATGTAGTGGTTGCGTTAGCGAATGCCTTTGCGTTATCGTTGAAATGATATAATTCATAAGTTAAAAGAAATATAACCGCAAAAGATATAATTATGTGTTATCTTCGTAACGCTTAAAGACTTGTGCTTCGAAAAATAATTACTTTATTGAGCGATAATATTACATAATTCCTCTGAATATTGTTGAAGTGCACAATCACAATTTCTTCGATATTGAATGAATAATGGATTATAAATGTAAACTGTGTGCTCGTTGTTTTGAACGAATTTCTTATGTTCAATTACATTGATCATTCGACACGAAACGTAGAAAGAATCGAAGTCTTATTTACGCGTGCACGGATAATTAACGTTTACTAAAAATTCTGATAACACAATCGGAGTATTTCGTGATTATCGAAATATAATTGAATAACGGATCGTGAAAATCAGCACTCCCCTCCCCCTACCCCCTCCCCCCATATTGTTTAAAAATAATTTTGTCAGCCGAACATGTGTCTATCTACCTCGGTGTTGATGTTAGCTGATTCAGAACTTAATTGTTTAATATTTCACTACTTTATTTTCCGCAATACGATTTTCTTACACTATTGTTCTCCATTGTTTTACTATTGCATATATGTATTTTATTCACAATATAATTAGTGATTAAATGGACAAACAACAGATTTATTTCAGAATGTTTTTTTATCGATATGCCTTTGTATCAATCTACTGCTCCTGAAACAAGCGATCGCCGGTTTATCGAGCGTCATTGATAGCAGCTTTGATTATGGCCGATGCCGACATTCAATGATAAAGTTTACTCGTGGGCGCCGATTATATTATATTTTATTTTTACAGACGCAACAGCACTTTCTTCAAATGCCCAACTTATTTGAAAATCCTTACGGACTTTGTAATTGAAGCTAGCCTACCAAAGTCATTCTTCTCCTTACACGAGTCAAAAAGTAAAATTTTATACGTCTCCTTGTTATCCGTTATATTTACAAAATTACTTACCGTTCTTAAAATAGCCTGCAAAAAGGACTCCTCTCCTCCACAAATTTATGATCTTTAATACTGCATTTGCTATTTTATTCGAATTACAAAGCATTTGTGATATCTTTATGCTTAATGCATTAGTGGGTCTATGATTGAAAATTGTACTTTTAAATTGACTAATAGAATTCAACCAAACGCAATGTGCATTATCGATTTTGAACAAAATGATCGAAGCTACATATCGGTACAATTTTTCATCTACTCAACTAAACATCTGTAAATCATATCCAACAATTGTCCAAATAAATTAATTACTCTCATATAACAAGGTCACATTATTAGATCGTCTCTCGTTACTCCTGAATTGCTATTTAAAAGTTAATTATCATTCAAATTCGCGTTAATTATTTGAAATGATTCATTGTAATTTTTGTCTTACCAAATTAATTTTATAAACGTTTTCAAACGCACTTGCGTCGAGACCATTCCATTAACGGAATAATCATTCCATTAATTTTTTATCGTCGAATATTCACTATCGATACTTTAAACAAATTATTCTTCGGACGAACCACTGCTATAAATAATTCAACTATACCGTGAATCGTAAAGATGAGCAATTTCATTACTTTAACCATGACAAACATACTACTTTACCCTCGAGAGATATAACGTTTGATAAAATTTTAATTATTCTGAACTTGCGAACGCTGAGGTGCAACCATTTATTGACACGATTGTTGACTCTTAATTATTAGTTCATACTTCGATTCTTTATTTTTTTCTTGCATTCACAAGTTGTGACAAAAATTTTCTAATTTCTTCGGCTTGTAGAAATGTAGAAATGTAGAAATTAATATTTATAGTATTTCCAGCTTAAAATATCTCAGAAACAATCTATTACTGCTTTAATCATTTATATTTATATTTTGATATTTCATACGAATCTCACAAAATCTGCTAAACATATATGTATGTTACATAATTAAATGTATAAACATAACTATGTGCGTGCGTGCGTGCGTGCGTGTATATATATATATATATATATATATATATATATATATGTGTGTGTGTGTGTGTGTGTGTGCGCGCGCGCGCGCGCGTGTGTGTCTCTTAAACCACGTTTTTTCAGTTATTTTCCAATTATATTGCAATTAATACCAATTGGTTATGTAAAAAACTTTCTTTAGAGCAACGAGCAACCCAGGTTTTCATTAGAATACACTTGCCAACTTATGTCCCGCTCTTATTGAACTATGAAAATTGCGATTAATTCAGATTAGAACGATACCAAAACAACAAAATCTTTCAAAATCGTTTAATTTGTTGTTTTAAATTAAAGTTAAAAGTACAAAATGCATAATCAAATCAAATGATATACATCGGAAGACTTACTAGAGCTTCTACTGTCACACACTGTACGCAGTAAAGTATTAAACGAACCAACCGACGACATAATACAAGGTTTAAAGTGTACGCTCTGTATCGCTTTTTATTTGATTGAAACTCATTTTAATTAAGTCACTTCGCTATATTTATTGTGTTAAAAATATTACTATTAATATTACGAATCCTCACTGTAAATATGTAACAAAAATAATCATCGATTATTTTAAAGTAATTTTACGGATCGCATCGTTTTTAGTCATCCTACGAGATGTAGATAATTTAACGATTATTTCGCTGAATTTTGTACTATCAAACGAAAGGCAAATGATTATAAAAATTAATAACACATAAATGGATGACACTTTCAAATTAAAATAATTGAAAAAAATGAATCGAAAGAAAAAATTGATATTAATTGAGATGTATGCGCAAGATGTAGGGCAAGGGATCAACTTCCCTTTCATAATAATTAATATTATTATTATTATTAATTAATTATATATTATTAATTATTATTATTAATTATTATTATTAAACACCGATATTTTAAAATGTATTATGTATTTAATCATCTATGGTGATATAAATATTTATTGAGAATAAAGATTTCAGAACCATGCTCATTTATAATCGATGTCATAGCAACGTACTCGCATGCACATACATAATAAATGTTTGTTGTCCCTTCTCGCTTTTCTCCATTCTGAAATGCTTATGTGTAATATTGTAAATGACCGAGCATCTTTTTTTCTTTGTTTTCTTTGTTTTTTTTTTTGTTTTTTTTTTGTTTTTTTTTTTTTTTTCTTTTCTTTAAATACGCCTGTCTTTTTACTTGTATTGGAAATCGTCAAACTATTATGAACGATCAGTAGCTAAATTAATGCTGAATAATAACTACTTTTAAACGTATGTGTCTAATTTATTTTATTTTTGTATTTATTTGTAAATTTATTTTTAATATTTCTATTTCTCGTCTTAAAAATATGGTAAACTTTTCAGATTTCATTATGGCGTTGTAAGAGTTACATTGTCGACCTAATAATACCTTCATTCTACCATAAAATATTTCACTTATATAATATTAAACGAGAATTGATATTATTCCAAATGTTTCAATTTAATAAGTAATTAATATTGTTTCTGATGATATGGAAGGATATTTTTAAACTCAATTAGATGATAGAACGAGAAAATTATTAAAGTAAATTTTTTAAATCGTTAACAAGCAAAGAATGGAAATTGTATTTCTCATTTCAATCTCTCAATTATCCATCTAATTAAATTCAACGCAATTGTTATGTAATGAATATCTACTAAGAAGAGAGAAAATTTTATTTAAAATTTAATAGCTTATGATCAATGAAAATAATAATTAAAAATTAAACTTTATAAAAGTCCATTCCTAACAAAAAATAGAGTAACAGTATATTTATCTACTATTTATAGATGAAAATGGTATGAAAGAAACGTATTTAAAATTAATTTATGATTGTTTAAATTACAAAAATCTTACATTACATATTAAAGAAAAAATTAATTTTTTTTTTTTTTTTTTTTAATTACACGCAGAGTTATGAATTAAGATCGAGAATCAACTTTTTTTTTTTTTTTTTTTTTTTTTCATATTTTCTTTTGTTACAGCAGAATATATCGTCAATAGTCAGTCTAAAATTTCTTATTGCTTGAAAAATTATTACTTATTATGTATGGACTGAAAAGATTAATTTACTCGTTTATAAAATTAGTAAATTTATGAGAATTGCAAATCTAAATAAATAAATAAAAAAAGTTAATGTATTTTAGAATTTTAAATGAAAAACCAAAATTTAAATAATTGAAATAAAATGTTTCTTCAATTACAACTATAATAGTATTTGAATTAAACGCCTATTTCTGGGTTTTAAAAAGAACTTCTTGACATAATAAGCAAATCTTTTGGATTAAAATGCCAGTTTTTTTATTAGACTTTTATAGTGACGATGCTGGTACAATATGTTGTTCAGTAGATTAGAAATTAATTTTTAATATATTTCATTACCAGATAGATATAATAGAATTATTAATACATATAAATATGTTTAAAATTAGTTGTTTTATATATATATATATATATATATATATATATATATATATATATATATATATATATTCGATAGCATTTATTTCTTATCGTCGTATCTTTATGATAATGAAAATATAAACAAATTCCTGATGTCTTTAAGAGACTTTGCGTGTCAATATGAAAAGCGAACGAAAGAAAAATAATAATAACTTTATGTAATAAATATTAATAACTATTTATTCACATTTAGTTAAAAATAAAGTTGGAACGCTCTCAATACGATTGGCAACGAAAAAAATATCGAATATTCATTTCATAATCTTTTGCTACTGTTTGATAGAAATTTTCATACATTTTACGTATATACTAGTTGTTGTTGTAAATATTTTGGAAATTGCAGTTACGTACTTTAAATACATATTTTTCCAATTCTAAATAGTTCAGTTTTTAATAAATTTTTCGTTCGTATTTACGTTCAATCGGCTGCATCTATATTTTATTATTTTTTTTTTTTAAACTAACAAACTCAATTTAAATTACATAATGAATGTAATTAATCGTTCTATCTGTTATCTTGAACCACATCTTATTCGTTATAATAATGAAGCATAACTTTATTTATATGTGAGAAGAGATTTACGCTTTTTCAGCTTCTAACGAAGTTTTTCCTTTACATTTACTTGACAATCTATATTCTATTTTATATACAATTGTTATGAATTTTTTTTTTTGCTAAGCCACTTATTTTGGTGTAAATTTATTATACATTTAATGACAGCAAATCTCAACAACTATTTAGTTCATTTACTTAAGGCGGGTGTAGGCAAGTGTTTGATGGGGTTGTGGTGGGAGTGGGGGCGGAGTTGGGGGAGGGTGGACGTTATAACAGCAACCTACCTACCTTTCTACCTTCCTAGCAATATACAAATTTTTAGCGAATAAGATTTGTTCAGTTACAATAATCTTTCAATAATGAATAATGACGCTTCGTCGGGGTTCAACAAAATTTCTCCGTAGGGCAACTTCATCGATGGGTATTTTATCAATGACATCTGTTTTGTCGAACAAATTATTTTATGATTAACGCTGAGTGTACGGCAGAAGATAAGCGTTTAAGGTAATTAAGTTTGTTATAAAAAAATATCTCAACTTTATGAGCCCTATTATATATCATAAAAAGTGATTGTCTATAATAAAGTCAATGAGTTGATGTACATTTTGAGCAGCTAATAAATAATAAATGCATCATTTTTAGTTAAATTATTTTATTAAATTAAATTATAGAGTAGTGAAAAAAAGTAATTAAATTCGATGTAAATTATCAATGTACCGTTATTTTTTCAAATTTACAATATCTTTGAAAATTTTACAATTCCATGAAATCGAATGCACCAAGTGCGCCATCTGCGGTACACAATATTCTACTAATAATTTCATCTTCCTTACTCTTCTTATCACGACGAACAGTCCCTTCGAGTTTCCAGTCTTGCCATTTCTAATTTTATTCTCTGATATTTTCAAATATGCTTTGAAGTTTAATAGCACGTGGTTCGCAAGGAGCCCACGTTAATAATTGGAATAACACTTGTATATTACGATCGAGTACTACAAGTTATTTTTTAAACGAATAAGAACGTTAGCAAATGCATCGGTTTGTTTATTAAAATATTTTTAGTCGTTAAGCAGAGGGTTGTTGGTGAGATTTAAAAATTTCTTTGATAATATTTATAGATAAGAAGAGTGGAGTAAGAGTGCGTACGTGATCATTATAAAAAGGAATTTAAATTTTTTTCAAGATAATAATAATTAAAAATGACGAAAAAAGTTTCTTTCAATGAAAATCTGGAGATATGTTCAGAATCTGGAAGTCTTGAGGTAGGGAATGACAATATTGAAATGAGTATAAATAGAAAAGAAAAGAGGAAGCGTAAATTAGATGATGTTTATGTGAAACCTAAGAAAAAAGGAAAAAGCGAGGAAATTGAGAGTACTATGGAAAATGATAAGAATAGCAGTAATGTCGTGGATAACGAAGATTTGGATGACATTGTAGTCTCTAAAGAGGAAAGCGATAGGTTTACTGGGAAATTTTTAAGAGATTCGTTTAGTTCATCGGAAGATTTTCTAATGCTTAATAAATTTGTCGCAATATGTCATCAAAATGGCAAAAGGGATTTAGCGGCAGAGTTTTTGCGAGCGGGTGGTACTGTTCTTGAAATTCTGAAATCACTTGATATATCGGAGAAGAAGAATATCAACAATACATGCGTTGTATTTTCAGCAATGCATATTGTTATAATGAAGTGAGTATTTTAAAATTAAAATCTTTGTTATTGTTTAACGAAGGTTTACGCCTGAATTTATTATTATATTATATTATTATTATATTATTATTATTTCCATAAGAAATTAATAACTTAATAAAATAATTTAAGTAAATTTTAATTAGAAATAATTTATGCATTTTCTTTATATAGCAATGATTAAAAAGCTTCGTTTCTTTTTTAGAATATTAGCTAAATTTCCACAGAACCAATCAAATGCTGAAGAAGCATGCCGTCATTTGATTAATACCCATCTTGTCTCGATACATTCGATGCTCTCTAGTCATGGGAAGGCGAAACATCGTAAAATTATTCTAAAATTATTAGCTGCAATTGTTTCGTTAGGTGGAAAGTTACCGCGCGAATTATTAAATCATTTATCGCTGCACTCGCAGCTCGTTGAAATGCTAGTTTCCCATTCTAAGCCTACCGATCGTGAGAGCGTGAGAACGTGTTTTATATATTTTATACTCGCATTTTTGATCGAGGGCAATGCAACTGACATTCGAGCGTTACTTGAGAAACGCGGTGTACTATCTAGTATTTTTTCTGGTTTACTATACGATTATTCCGACATTGTTCAACTCGTATTAAAAACTGTTAAAAAATATGTCTTAGAAAATCCTACAATAACTAAAACTGTAAAATTACATGTATTTTCAACTACAGTTGTTCAAGAGATTTTTAATTTATACAATTGGAAAGGTCCTAAGAATTGGTCTAGTCAAGCTCATAAGAAACAAAAATTTGTAACAGAATGTATCGATGCAGAAGATAAGGAGGTATATAAATTTTTATTTAAATATTTCTCCACTATATTATCAAATTTTTAATAATATTATGTTGCTTAGATTACAGTAAACTGTGTTCATGATTTTTTAATAACTCTATTAACTTCTACAAGGCATGGTATTGCTTTTCACGATCGAACTCTTGGAACAGATTCGAAATATAAGCACAATCAGTTGATTAGTACACTTTTACAAAATCTGGATAAGCCTTGGGAACACGAGAAACAGTCGGACTTAATAATTAAAATCTTAACAGTGTGTCCCGATTTAATTAAATTACAGTTAATTCGCACGGAGTCTTACTTAGTTCCTAGAGTTTCAAAAAAATGGATCGATACCATACATTTTATTAGCAAGGTAATTTAATTGAGATTTTCGTTTCGTTTATACATACAGAGCTCTCATCTATTAAATAGAAAATTTGCAAAAAGTTCATTATAATTCTCTTTTAATGTAACTTAATTCTTAATATTTTCTAGATAATTAGTAACATTGACATAGAAAGCTGTTTACGATTTTGTTCTTTAGATATGACAGAAATACAATTTATAAATGCAATTTTAAATTTAATATTACCCTCTGTCGTTATTAAAACAGCAATAATACCATCCTTGGAGCATAGTAGTTTCATAATTCATCATGAAATTATTAATCTTTTATTAGTTATGATTAAGAAAGTTGAACATTTTGTATCAATTTTTGAAAGTATGAAGTTTAGCGTCTCTGAAATTTCCACTTACAAAGGCATTATTTCAGAACACATATTGAAAGTGAGTTTAAATAGTTATAAAAAAATTTCCACAACATGTAATTTAAATATGGTTTAATAAATAATCATTTTTTATTACAGCATATACCAAATATTGACTCCATTATAAACTTATGGACTAAAACATTGTCCTCCAATGTAGAAGAGCGAAATCTTGAAATGCAAGAGAATGTAGATTTTCACGTGAAAGATCATTTACAAACAATTCTAAATCTTCTACAAGCTTATTGTGAAATTTGTCCTGAAATTTTTTTAACAACTAGTTCTCCAAATATACAAAAAGAATGTATCGTATTGTTTACTAATTTCTCTAACATAGAAGATCTTACAACAGAGGAATTGATTACTATGAAAGTCAAGACTATAAAAATTCTCTTATTTTCCAATATATTAAGCTTTCTACCAAATGAGGTATTATACATTTACTTCTCTGAGTATTATTTATGAATTGCAATCAAATTAAATTAAGGGATTAATTAATTTTCGCTACTTTAATAGGAAATTTTTAACAGTGCTCTATCATTTTTAATCACTCAAATTGGAAATAAAGATACTTCTTTGGATTATGAAATACGTGAAACGATAAATGTGTTGTTAGAGAAATCTGGAATATTTGAAGGGTATAATGATCAGATTGAAATTTGGATCGACGGCATCACGTATTTCAAAAGTCTTGAGAAGGTTGAAGTTGCTAATTGGATTACAAAAATCATTAAACGTGTGTTTAAGCATAATGATAAGTATGCGTCATTAATATTTGAAATTGAACGAAATTCTGGAGAGAAAGTTGATATAAATGTACAAGAAAAGATATTTAAAGGTACGTAGATGTTAATTAAAATCGCGCATAAAGTGATAAATAAATTTACGTTAGGCATGCTTTTAATATCGTTGACTTTGGATATTTGTGTTTTTCTAGAATTAAGCGAAAGAAATTTTGATGACGTGAAATTGGTATCTTCCATGTTACCGGTTACTTCAATATCCTTAATTTTGTATGCCGCAATAGAGAATTTAAACAAGAAGCCTTCATCTATTATAGAACGTTACATATCAATTGTTTTGACACATTTATTTCATTGTCAAATATCAACAAATTCGTTTATTAATTTGGTAAAAGAGTTGAATATCCCTATGCAGCGATACTTTATCAGTTGGTCGAACGATGCTCTTATAACCCCAACGAGCAAGCCTTTCAAATCAAACAGTATTTTTCAGAGCATAAATAGATTGCTACTAAATTCCGATCAAACATATAAAGTATATTCCAACGAAATGCAATTATATATTGAAATTAATGAGAATGTATTGGAGTATACGCCAACTAATTTTGAAATAAAAGCTGCATTCCGAATGATAATTTTTTATCTGACGCAATCGCTACAGAAAGCTAATACAGAAATTAATAATACGACAGTCTATACAGATACTTTATTATCGCTCATAAAAATTGCGGCTAGAAAAGAAATGGCTTCAACAAATTTAATTAGTTATTGTGCCGGTTGGATTTTCAAAAATTCAATATTTTTACAATATTTTAATGGAGTTTATGTAAATAATAGCAATAGCTCGGCCGAAAATATGATTACAGTATTATTTGTAGACATTTGTTCTTTATTTTATGACTTAAACAAACAGTCTATACTATCGCAATTTATGAAACCTTATCAGGACAAGTTTATCGTTCAGTTGAAGCATGCCATTAATGTAGAAAAAGCTAGTAATTTACAAAAAGAGGTACAGGCACATCTAAAATTAATTCAGCTATTGCAATTAAATATTCAAGTCTCTATCGGCTTATTGGCTACAATTATGAAGTTACCGAAAGAACATTTTGTAATCTCCAATAAGATTCCAAAATTGTCGATTTGGGGAATTATGATTCACAAGTTGATAGAGCAATTTTTTATAGAAGAAGTTAGAATGGAATTAAGAGGTTCGTTTCCCACCATAAATGATAATCTGCTAAAAAAGTTATTTTCTTATTGGATAGAATTGAAAATGACATGTAAAGAAGATATAGAATTATGGGAAAGTAGCATCTATACTTATCTATTAAAATTTCCTCACAGCATTGCATCTATCGACCAAAGTAAATAGTCCAAATCAATCCTTTAAACAATATTTTAAAGAAAGTTTTATGAAAAATTACATAATTATCTAATTGTTTTCAGAGACATTCACGGCAATAATAAAAACTGGTATAACGTCAAAAACTATTAAGATACTTAATTTACTGACTGAAAGGAATTCTAAATTAATTCCAACATTTATCAATTATGCAAACGACAACGAAGACATTATTTCTCACAAGTCTCTAATTTTTTCAATATTATCAAGTAATTTAAATTATAAATGGGACAAAGAATTTCTTAAAAAAATCTGTAATATTTATAATATGGATATTCTCAATTTTTTAACTGGATTAAAATCCAACGATTATTCGTGGATAATGGAGAATGTAGATGCAGTGTCATATTTAATTGACAATAGTTTCGGTAACGGATCTTTATTAATTTAAAAAATATTCTCAATTCAATTGTATTCTTGGAAGATTATTGTTAAAAAATTTTTTTTAGAACAAAAAGCATGTGACGAAGTGTGTGAAACGATTTTATCCAATGGCAATCAGTTAGACGAAATTCAAGAAGAGCGTATAAAATTACTTGCAAATGTGTTTAAGAAAGGTTTAAAAATAAAACCAGATAGTTTAAAAGATTTTGTCCAGATAGTTCTTCATGTAACGGTAACGTCATTGAAAAGGGATTCTAAAAATATTGGAAAATTAGAATTCCTTTGTAAAACGCTGAATGATTCTATCGGTACCTTGAAATTAGAGGACAATTTTGAATTTGAAGAACTGAGCAAGAATTATTTTTGGTGTCAATTCATTCGGATAAGCTTAAAATCAGGCCTTAAAGTGACAAAAGAAAGCAACAACAACAACAACAACAACAACAACAACAACAACAACAACAACAACAACAACAATAATAAGGCATTTTTATTGAAAGCTTTAGTTGCAACTTGCAGTGTTGCTTATAAAGATAATGGTAATGAGGAATATGTTAAAACTATATTTGACATGACCACTTCACACTCGGAATTTACGAATATTATGTTGAGCAATGCAAACATTAAGAGTAAGAGAAATTATATATTATTCATTCTTCGAGCATACGTCTTAATTTAAATAAAATATTTTTAATTACCTAGACGATCTCACGGAGTTACTATGGATCTTAATTAGGAAAAATAATACGATAATGTTGATAAAACATATCCCTCTTTATTTAGCCTCGTATAATGCAACATTAGATACGAGCGATCAATTTCTTTTGAAGGTAAATTACCGAATAATTATTTCAACAATCGACCTCAAACATATCTCCGTCCTTATTGTCCGCTCTTGTAAATTACATCCATCTAAAAGTAAATTTTTGTTTTTTGTTTTTTTTTTTTCTTTTCAAATCAGATTCTTCAACATTACGAAAACAATGGAATAAAATTAGATCATTATCGACCTTATTTGTGGAGCAATGCCGCTGCATTTCAGTATAGCGTGAAAGGTGAAATGGACACAGCCTTGTGGCGTCAACCCACAACGTCTCAAGTATTAGATATACTTGTTCCAGAACTAGTTACAAGTACAATTAAAAATTTTCCAATTAAACGCGATTTAAAGGTATATTCAATTGCCTAATATTTTACGCGCAATGTATCGGCAATTTTATTAAAAAGTTACTACTCTTACTTAATTCAATTATGTTTAGTGCAATATTACAAATACAATTTGTATTGGAGATCAAGTGTACGATCCTGCATTCTACTTGCCAGTGTTTACTCAATTACTCGCAGACAATAATGTAATCGCTTGTCATAAAGTGATACACAGCGGGGCATTGGCCCTGACCATCATTGCCTGCAGTAGTCTGTGCGAAGATGTTCGTTTAGCAGCATTTACCGTTCTTTCAAGATTTTACTTCCATTTGGAGGCTACAAGGTCTATTAAATAATACATACTTATATATATATATATATATATATATATATATATATATATACACGAGATAATAGATTCTTAATACTCCTACTAATTGTATAACATTTACCTTCTTTTTTTTTTCTTTTTTGACTCTTTAGTTCAAAGGAAAAGTTATTGTGGATGAATTTCATCGATTCGTTGCGCAATGGAATTTTCCGAAACGAGTTGGCATTGGAAAGTATACGACTTAACGGTTTCCTGGCGACCTTTCTGGCTCGAACAAGCTTTATCATGACTCAGCCTCTGAACCCCCTCTACTCTACCCTTCAATCCTTTCTTATGGCTAAATCAGCGTTAGATCTTAACACAATACCCGAGTTGCTGCAATTGTATTATAGTTCGGAAATTGACTATCAAGCGCATAGGCATTGGATACTCGAAGTTATTTCCGATGGTTTGAAAAGCGATCTCGACATGGATGTTGCATTAAGATGTGTCTTATTTAAAATGTTGTTCGATTTTCACAGCTCAACATTATCCGATATACAATCGAAGGTAACAATTGTCTTTCATTATATTAAATGCCCATAAAATTATAAGCATTAATATTACCGCTCGTTGCTTTTAGAATCTTATTCTTCAAATAATAAGGTCTGCGACGAAATTGTTAAAGCCGTGTATGATACTTGTAAATGGATATTCCTTATTACCGTGGTTGCTTACGATTACCCAAAGCCTTAACAAAGGCGATATAGGATCTACCGTTTGCATAATCGATATTGTGAATAATATTCTATTTGCATTCGATGAGAGCAAATCAAAGGATACGCATCATTATTTGATGCTGGTAAAGACACTTTTGTATTTGATGATGTCCTTTGGCAAAAATTTAACATTAGAATGTTTGAAAAGCTTTATCGATGCTTTGAGGAAAGCAATAATAAATAAAGCTGTTTGTAATGCATTTACAAAAGATAAAATGATATCTGTAATTAATAGTTGTAAAATATTATTGGGAAATGTAGATGAATGCGAATCCATTTTACAATTTGGTTGTAAATTTGTCAAGAAAAAAAATCATATTAATTGTAATGTTGATTTATCACTTCAAGAGAGCTTGTACCAATTGATTACAACATGGTACGGTTGTACTAATTAATGTAATTAATAAATTTTTCAACATTGTAAATAACACGATTGTAAATATAATTTATATTAATATTAATTTCTTACAAAAGCTTTTATTATTCATTCCCCTTGGATTATAGAACGATTAGGAAATCGATGATTAATTTGCATTATTTTAATTATACATTACAGTAATAGTATATATATGTTAATAATAATAGCCATTCTTGTAGCTAATAGCTGTTATCTCGCTCGTTGTCATTAAGAACTCAGAATAATCTATCTAATATTACCAATTACATTTAGTTGTATTTATTTATTTATTTTTTTCTTTCTTGTATCTTTTCATTTTATTTGTCAAATTGTAAACAAACAACGATCGATTTTTTTATTTTATCACTATTCAAGTTATCGCTATTAACGATAATCTAAGGGGATAAGTACAATTTTCTCTCCAAAAACAACTTAATTTCAATATATATATATATATATATATATATATATATATATATATGTATTGGATAATATTTCAAAATTATTTAATTAAATAAAATATAAATGATTAAGTTAGATTCAACTGAGATAATATTGTGCTATCAAAGTTCCTTTTCTATTTATTCGTTTATTTATAACTATTATACACATAGGATTATTAGATTTAATTTAGCTTAGAATTTAGCTTTTATTTTTAATTTGCCAATACCTACATTTAACAATTATTATAATTCTTCTTCTTCTTCTTCTTCTTCTTCTTCTTCTTCTTCTTATCCCTAAACTGTAAATATTTTCCTCTTATTTTTATCGTTCGATTTAATTAAAAGTTTAAAAAATATTTGTAATCATTAAAACGGATCATTATTTTCTCTATAATATCCTTTAATTGCGTCACTTTAATTAATAAATGTATTATAATTATAGTTATTATAATTATTGCATAAATTTTCAGATCTATATAGTTCTAGCCTTAAAAGTCTCGGTCGATCAGTCGTGCACTTAAAAAATTACGAAATGAAAAAATTAAATTATCGTGCAGTATAATATTAAGTTCCTTTGCAATTTTGAATAATGAAAATCAACACTTTTTGGAAAGTTGATGGTGCGTTATAAATTATAAGGTCGTAATGTAATGAAATTTCATAGTCTAATTGGGGAGAAATGTTTCAAAATTTATGCTAACCTATACATTTAATAAAGAAGAAGAAAGAAAACGTTTTTAATCCATATATATCAAAATAACTCTGACATCTCAATTAAAAAAAAAAAAAAAAGATTAAATCGCAAAGATCACTTTTTAACTAAAATGAGACAAATAGAGCGACCTTATAATTACAAGAAATGGAATAGAAGTAGTCAAGACTCAACAACGTACTATGGACCAGTTGGATCGATGCATTTGAATGAACTTGCCGCATTTTTAAAACGATCGATAAATGTGTGGTCAAAAGGATGTCTGATACATTCCTTTGGCAAAGCTTCAGGAAAGCTACAAATTAACGTCGAATACATAGAGAACGATTGTTCACGCGTCGGCCATTATAGATTAAACAATAGCCTAGAACCAAATATTATTTATAAATATCCAAATAACTGTTTGTTTGACGCCGTGGCCGTGCAAACTGGCATTGAAGCTATTGTATTGCGTCAAATGGTAATAAAAAGAATGAGAAGACAATTTAAGAAGAAACGTATTGCCGTTAACTTTGCTTGGAAAAATAATCCGTCGTTAAATTTCGGTTAGAAATTTTCATATAAAGAATATTGAATTCTTCTTCTTCTTCTTCTTCTTCTTCTTTTTGTTTGTTTATTATCACGTATAATGATAAACAATGAGCGACAGACATAGTGTATGTATGATAATTGTGAGCGTCAAGTACGCGGGAAAATAAAGATTGTGAAGATTATTCAAGAAAATGTTTACAACTAGTATATTTATAATTATATTTTTTTTTTTCTTCAAAGCAGCTTAGCCTTTTATATTCTTGACAATATAAACTGATACGTAAACCGGAATCCAATATCAATGGAACTTAAAATAAACTCATCATTATACGAAATTATAAAAAATTTTGAAGCTTCGTACGATTTATCAATGAACGTGCAATTACTAGAATTAACAATTTTATAATTTTATTATAATCGTTAAAAAATACATCATATGAAAATCTATAGATAAAAGGATTAAATTTTGAATAAATTTTTACAAATCAACCAATAATATTTTTACCATACCAAGATTTTATCTATTTTAATAGTAATTACAATATAGCTAAATCATGAAAATAATTGAAATTAATAAGAAAATCTTGGGAATTCAGCAATAATGTAATGTTGACTTTACAGCAATGCTCGTTGTTATTTTGTTTAAAGTACAATCGATTGTGAGGCTAAGTCACTGTGTCGGAAAATATTTGAAAATTTACACACAAATATTTAATGTTCTAATAGAATAATAAAATGTTTCATTAAGCTAATTTAAGAGAAACAATTTTTCCAAGTAGTTGCAATATATTGCTTGTTTATTTGTTTATTTGTTTGTTTGTTTGTTTTTTTCTCTTCTAAAGAATATTTGAATATATTATGAAATATGAACTTAGAGATACGATTCTACGCATTAATGGCAGTGTGAAAATAGGAAAAATTTGTAGGAAAAACACACACGCACGCACACGCACGCACACGCACGCACACACACGAAATTAATAAAGTAATTACTTAATATTCTTAAATAATATGAAAACTGATATTGAATATATTATAAGCATACTGCTGTTACCGAGTCTTATAAATGTGACATTACATTTCTTGCTTCGAACGAATGTCATTGCGCGCGAATGTGAATAATTCGCGAAGATTATTTAAAAAAGAAAAAAAAAAAAGAAAAAAAAAAACCCCCATTTAAAAATCTTCGAAATACGTAAAGTTTTGTTTGTTTTCAAATAGATTTACTGGGTGGTGCCAAGTACCGTGGAAAATCTGCAAACGATGCTAAAATAATACTGAATTTGTCGCAAAACGGAGAGTCGCATCCTTTGAAAAAAAATGGACATCCTCGAGGACACGCGTCAAACTCAATAGCCACCGGGCACACTGATTCCGTGGAAAATTATTCCATAGGGACATGGAAAACTGGCTTCCTTTCTCAATCCGATCAAAACTACTTGGCCCACTTGGCTTTGCGTACGGTTTCTGCACAGGATCAAATGGAAGTACTGAACGATAGTAAAAACTTTCAAGTAACGACTGCGATTAAAGCTAAAGATTTGGATGCGGATACAGATGAGCTTCCAAAGATGCAAGAGTGGCTGAACGGAAATAAAATAGGAGATCCATATAAGATACACGAATTGCTCATAATAATGAAACATTTTTATAAGAAACACAACGATGAGAAACACGATGTTTTTGTCTGCACTTTCTATCCAAAAGCCTAATGTTAATAAAAGGAATTTTCATATTTATTGGAATGTTATCGCGGCTTATTAAATTATTTCCTATTTTGAAAATAATGTACGATGAAGATGCTTTTACATTGTAATTTTTTCGTATTTAAACGTTTTTCTTAAATACATTTATCGTCCAGAATTGTTTTTCAATAATATAAAATTAATGAAAACTACTGGATAAATATATATCTTGTAAATAATTATGTAATAAAATAATAAAATAAACAATACTATATATATATATATATATATATATATATATATATATATATTTTATAATGTTACTTTTGTAAAGAATTAGTGTTGAAATTCAGTATATAAAGGAAATTAATGCTAATTATTATTATTATTATTATTATTATCTCGATAAATATGATTAAAGCATTTTATTCAATTTATTATTTTTTTTTTTTTTTTTTTTTTTTTTTTGTTTTTTTTTTTTTTTTTTTTAACAAAATTTTTTTTTGCAACCAAGTTATTCGCAAGTTTTTAATAGAACTTGTAAAATAAAATGTCATTTATAAATTAAGTCTAGAAAACAAGAACCTAACGACACTGGGATCCCTCTAATCATTGTATATTCCCATGAAGTTAAGTAAATTCATATAAAGCATCGATAGTCATCGATTTAAATAAATTTCTAGGTTATTTTGGAGAATCAAAATTCCAGTATTAGATTTCAAATTCCAAACGGCATAGAATGTAGCCGAATTAAATTAAATTGACAAGTAAAATTGCAAAAACTCACTCACTCGCAATGAACAATACTAATAGTAATAAGCGGTGGTGGTGGTGGTGATGGTGGTAGCAGTAGTAGTAGTAGTAGTAGTAGTAGTAGTAGTAGCAGCAATATAATTATGAAATTTGTAAATTAAAAGTAAAACTAATAGTAGAAAAAGAAGGGAAAAAAAGAAGGAAAAAAAAAAGAGGGGAAAAAAAAAGGTAAAAGAAAAGAAAAAAATGCGTACGAGAGTTAAAGTTTACGACGATTTCGCGCTTCGGAAAAACGAGCGACTAATCTTTTCCAACAATGTAGTCGCGGAAAGAATTGATAGGAACCTCAACGGCAAATCTCGGCCACTCAATAACATCATCGATCAATCAAAATACGGTCCAGCCGGTTTACTTCACGCCTTCATACTAAGCAAGATCCTGCATCGACGCTTAAACGTCTGGCAAAACGATCGGATAGTTCACATGTTCGGCAAGCCAAACGGAAAAGTGGAAATTGACATAGAATTTATAAGGAGCTCGAGAGCGACTGGGCTGTCGCAGCTTGGCCACTGGATCGTCCATAACGGCAGTGTTCCACCGACGAAAAGCTCTAATCATAACGACTGCTTTTACCAAGCGGTTGGCTCGCAAATTGGCATCGATCCACTGGATTTAAGATTACTTCTCGTCCGAGCTATGCGACACCACGGGATTACCAAATTAATCTCGAGCAGTATTAATCCTCTGGCGATGATGAGTGCTATGAGGGGTGGGGCATGCTACAGGGGATCGAATCCCTCCCACGCTAAGATGGTTCTAGATGACTCCCAGGTCGGGAGATGCCATCCGGAAGGTTATCATGGCCATCCACGTATGCACGCTTACGACGAATCCGATAATCATGCAAACGTACAGAGTTACTCGTACTCTAGGTGAGTTGACCTTGAGACGTTTTTCTTCTTCTTGTATTTTTTTTTTCTTTTTTTTCTTTTTTTTTTTCATTCAAATACGTACGACCAGTGCCAGCCGTTACCCGCTCTATTCTCTCTTACACTCTTGCCGATCGCTAAATCATCATATCCGTACATATAATTATAAATGTAAAATCGTTAAACCATTTATCAATATTATTTTAACGATCATTTAATGACTTAACTGTCAATTGTCAATTGTCAATCGCTCGTTTCCCCAATCATTTAGATGGCGATCGGGTTTCTTATCGAGAAACGATCAAAACTTGGTCTGCCATTATGCACTCATTACAAATACTGCGAGATATTTAATGGATGCACTTAATAATGGCTCGAACAAGGAAGTCCGACACATCGGACACAGCGAAATTGATTACGATCCATTACCGCAGGCACAAATTTGGGACAGAGGCAATAAGGAGCGCGATCCTGGAAATTTGAGATCAGTGTGCATAGTCGGAAAGCATTTCTTAGATCAGCAGAATAATTTTAATAATAACATATTTATATTGACTTTCTATCCGATGTTGTAAGCGCTTAAAGAAAAAGAGAGAGAGAGAGGGGGGGGGGGGAGAAGGAGAGACGGAGGGAGGAAAGAAGGAAAAAAGAAGAAGAAAAAAGAAACGAGAGAGAGAGAGAGAGAGAGAGAGGGAGAGAGGGAGAGAGGGAGAAATAATAAAGATTCAAAGCTGAATGAAATACTTTTCATTCAAATAATAAGCTTTTATCGATTGATTATTAAGACTAGATTAGCCCCAATTTCGCTTTACTTATCAATTTTTAATACTTGCTATTGCCAAATCGTGAATGAAAATGAAAATGATAAACTACATTTAACAACATTTGTGCGAAATTATCGACCCAAGGTGAACGAAGTAAGTAACATTTATCCTTACCCATTATTTTTTTTTTTTTTTTTTTTTTCAAATAACCAAACGTATTTTTTTGTTGACATCTCTAGACTTATATTTTTATACATAGGTCGATAGAAAATGCAAAATATGGATTTAAGAAATCGGTAACGCTGATCAGTATCGTATGATTTTCATTGGATAAAAAGAAAAGAAAAAACAAAAACAGAAAGAAGAAAAACAGAAAGAAGAAAAAAAGATGAAGAAATGTGTTGTTTAATGATCAAAGCAACGAATAATTTGGCTAATAAATTTCATATAAATATTCTCATTATTTATTTTATAAAATGCTCACGATAATGTGAGCAGATCATTATGTGATATTTATTTACTCATATCATTGAAGAATAAATCAATTTTTACATATAAACTTTCATTATGCCGTAGATAAGTAAGGATAGATACGGCAAGCCTTAAATATGTCAAAAATTCAAAAAAATTGAAAATTAAAGCGCAAGACAAATACGGAGCAAATTTATTATAAACAAATCCAAACAAAACAAAACAAAACAAAACAAAACAAAACAAAACAAAAAAGCATATCTATTTATATTAGATCGCGTACAATAGTTTTAACATTCCTAGCACGAGTCTTGCAATTAAAAATATTTCTTCACCTTTTTGCCAATTCGATAAATCATATTGATCATTAATAAGAATTGTAACGAAGGCAATATAAATAATGTCATTATTTTTATAATCTCTATAATAATGACTTTATAATTTATCTTATTTATGTTAATAAATCACAGGAAGTATTGAAATCAACAGACTCTGTTTGGAAAAAATTATATTTGCTTAATACTTGTTAAAAATATAAATTTCGTACTTTCAATCCGTAGTTTTAGCCCGTAGTTTTCAATACATATTTATAATAATTACAATTGATCTTCACATTGAAGAGATAGGATAGTATTTAACAAATAGCTTCTCTGGTGTAGAGTGTGCAAATGCCTAACACAGATTTAATCAAATAGTTCGCGTTTGTATTTGTATATAAAAAAATGTATTCCATTCATTTATATTTATATTTTTACTCTTCTTTTTTCCTTGAAGGTATTTATTTCTCCATTGTATTAAACAGCTTTGTTCCAACATTTCTCCTCCCCCCCCCCCCCCCCCCTCCCCCCACTCCGTCTCTCTCTCTCTCTCTTCCTTCTTTTCTTTTTCTCGTATTTCAAACATTTTTTGGTATTTTCTTCTCTGATCCAACTTTTACAAATTTGGTCGTCGATAATACTTCAATATTTAAATATAAATTATCGTTTTGTTGTTTCTTTTGTTTTTAGACAAGAAAGAAGGCAAATTGTAGCTTTAATTTAACGCTTATGATAATATTATTGGACTATTATTAATTATTTAAGTCCCGAGTGTCCAAACAATCATAGATAAATAAGATGTAACATTATCATTATGCCATTTATATCGATTGCTTTTCTTTGTTTGTTTTGTTCTTTTATTCATTTATTTCTCTTAATACAGTCGTTTATGTGGATAGCTTCGCGTAAATAACGTGATATGACCAAATAATGTTTTACACTGATCTCAGCACCTTGCGATAAAAATTTATGGAAGACAATATGCTAGAATTATGAAAAACGAAGGTAAAAAAAAAGGAAAAAAGAAAAAAAAAAAGAAAAAAAAAAAGATGAAAAAAAATAAAAGAAAAAATATTTGAACATTTAATTTATATTATTGGGTGCTTGTTTTATTTTGTTTTAATCGTTTGAAAAACGCCGTGATATGATTGGATGTTTTTTTTTTCTTCGATGCGCAATAGCCACTCGATTATCGACACAAACTATCAATAATGAATCATACGAAGCTTTATTTATTACATCTTCGGTATAATGTCTAATTTAGGTTACAACGCTTTATGTAAATGTAATTGTTTTAGAATAAATTTGGTAGTCATCATTGACATTTCAATGAAAATCCTTTAGCGTGAATCATACGAAATAATACGTCGTGATAATTAGTCTATCGACCCTTTCTAAGTTTACAATAATTTTCGTCCTTTTTCTTTTTCTTTTTCTTTTTTTATCAAAATTTTAGAACTTCAGAAGCATTTACAAAATACCATTTATTTATTATTATCTTTATTTCCATCTTTTATCTCTTCTGCATACAATTCGTCACAAGAATATTTCCCGAATTTTCCTATTTTAACTCTATTTTGCCAAACAAAATTATTAACGATTATGGGCGTTCTTGTGTTGTTTTTGTTTATAATTATAAAAATTTTCAAACAACGAAATACAATTTATTCATTTGGTTATCGTCGCCAAAAAAAAAAAAAAAAAACATTTACAGCAAAAGACTCGAAACAATGCATGAACTTTTTGATTAAACCTTATATATCACAACGACTTTTGGCTCGTGATCGAGAGCCCAGTTTTTCTGATACAACTTTGTCTCTACCACTATCTCACATTGCTCGAAATTGATAAGTATCACAAAGATATGCCGAATCGTTTCTTTTTACTACCAAAAAAAAAAAAAAAAAGTCGATCAAATCCGATGATATCGACATACCCTATCGTTTGATAAGAATATTTACGTTTGATTCTGGAACCGCTAATCGTTTACCTAAAACCGTCCATCTCATGCATTCGTTATACGAAGTAGCTTTCTTTTTATCATTCGATACTTGTAGAAAAAAAGAAAGTTTTTTTTAATTTTTTTTTAAAAATTTTTTTTTTTTCTTTTTTTTTTAATATATATAATATATATATATATATATATATATATATATATATATATATATATATATAATTCGCATCTGTACAGAGTTATAAGGATTAAATTCTGCGGCGTTGTTAACATTAGACGAAGCCGCTCAAAAATTGTTCAAACATGACAAAGACATAAATAATTGTTAATTTTTTTCCATTTTCGTCGTTTACGGAATACCTTATATGCGCACCTCGCTCTTTACAAAATACATGCTCGTCTTGAAAAGTAGGAAAAACATTTTTTAGCTCTACTTATAAATATTAGAAAAAACATTTGTGTAAAATGATCAGTCTCAAAACATGGCATGGTCCACGGCACAATAAAGACATACAATGATGTAAAGTAGTTATCAAACGCCTCAAGCAAACATTTTTGTATAATAAACTACGTTTATGTAACTTGTGTGTCGATTGTAAACATTCGATGGCGTTGCCTTGACGGCTTTTTCTAATAAACTTAGTTAACAATTATACAACTAGTGACGTGAAATGCAAGAAGAATTATTTATTTGTAACTTTCTGTGCCGAGGTAATTTCCAAAGCAAACCGGCATGATTTATAAAATTTACTTTGGTATTAATACATTAATATTAGGTCTATGAAGATTAATATTAGCTCTCACGCATTAAATTACTTTGTGTGTGTGTGTGTGTTTGTGTTTGTGTGTGAGTGTTTGTGTGTGCGCGCGTGTGCGTGTATACGTGACAATTTTCATATTGCGTCGTAAACAGCAAAAATCCATTGAAATACTTTTTTATCGGCAAATTATTTTGATCAAAATGTTTGAGAATATATTACAAGCTAACGTAATTATATAATATTATGTGCTTAATCATATGGTATGTATAAAAAAAAAAACAAAGCAAAACAACAACTTTTACAAATGAAAATATCTGATCTGATGTTATATATATATATATATATATATATATATATATTGTATTAACAATTAACAAATTTTGGAAACCATCTGTCTTTTACATTCGTTTCACTAAACTACAATGTTTCACTAGAATTTCAGTCCGAATAATTAGATGATTGATCCATTGATATAATAATATTAACGAGATTATGATATTAGTTGATATTATGACACGATAGTAGTTCAAATCAAATTGACTGATATTTTAGTAAAAGTATAAGTATTGCGAGCATCTATCCATCATATTACTTTACATCTAATAATGCAACTTTTTAATAATTTGTCAATAATCATTCTATTATATTCTCAATTAAATTAATCAAAACTGGGATTGGATTTGGATAATTATTGTCATAAATCAATAGGAATGAAGTTTAATGTTTTGATTACTGAAAAATTGTTCAAAGTAATTTGCATGATCGAGTTAATAAGACCTGGGGGATTGAGATTTTAACGTGAGATAAGTAATGAGTTTGAAGTAATAGTCATTTCGTGTTTTATTATCATTTACATTCTACATTCGATCGATAGCTTTCGAGCGTTACCGTTTTAATTTTTACGAATTCGCTTATAAATAGAAAGTAAGTTGCTTTTTTTCATTTTTCATTTTTCATTTTTTTTTGTTTGTTTCTGTTGTTGTTGTTGTTGTTGTTGTTGTTGTTGTTGTTGTTGTGGTGCAGGATACTTCTCGCCTCGCAATACTACTTTTTCTAATTTCGTGCAATCGATCGAGGCAAGCGGATTTCGCACATCGACGAAGCTCCTAACTCCAGCACTCGGCAAGGATTTCCTGATGTAAAATTCGAGAACTCGCGACACGTGTTAATTATGTTTGATTTGCAACGAGTTTTCCCTGCCGCTCGTCGAGCGAGCCCAACCGGCCAAATTGCGCATCATTTGCACGGATAGAGGCCAGGACACGAGTAATTGGCTCTATGCAAATTATTTTTTATTTTTTATTTATTTATTTATTTTACTATTATTATTTATTTTTTTATTTTTTTTTTTTTATTTATTTTTTTTTTTTTTATAGAATAAAGCTAGACGACGAGCTCACTAGTGTCAATATCGCACTGACGCGTCCAATGCCATTTGGCATCAAACCATATCCGCTCAAAATCCAAAAATCCATAGCCAAGCGGAACGAGAGACCCCGTAAGACCTGATTTCACTACTGTTAATTTACTATAATAATTATAGGAGATTAAATTGTTGAGATTGAGTTTAAATTCAGGATATACAACTCACGTCAACGTAAGTCTTTGGCCCGGTTATTCCAAAACCTAAAAAATTACAACACTTTAGCGCATTCACGTAATATTATTACTCGATAATTGCACGTCGCGCGCACTCACACGGGGAAACCACACGGACAATAATAATAATCTTCTCTTCACTCATTTACACGTAATCGATTAATATTCAATTCTCATTGTCAGTCTTCGGCTGCAGTCTGCAATTACCTAATGCTATGTACACTGGGAAAAGGGTGGGAGTATTTACAGGAGTCTGACAGTCCAACTAGGAGAAAGAAAGAAAGAAAGAAAGAAAGAAAGAAAGAAAGAAAGAAAGAAAGAAAGAAAGAAAGAAAGAAAGAAAGAAAGAAAGAAAGAAAGAAATAATAATAATAATAATAATAATAATAATAATAATAATAATAATAATAATATAATAATAACAGTTTTAGCAACTAATGCCGGCAAATCACTACACAATTTTGATGGCATTGTCAATGTGTAACTTGGACATTGTCTTTTTAACTCGAAGGGCTGTCAAGCGAACCGCTGGATTTGTGTGCCAGCATTCGATCATCAGTTTACTGAGAGTCGAAAGAATCTAGAAAAACAAAATAAAACAATAACATTACATGGTGAATTTTTGGAAATTGATAGGAGGGACATTCGCAGATCGACATTAGTATTGCAATTACGTTATGTAAAGTGCATATTATCATTTCCCTTACGTTATATACGATATATACGAGGGATAACGTGGAAGCAAATAGGATCCGTAATGAAGGGGCGGGAGAGTGGAGAGGGAGGAGAGAGAAAATTTCCCAACCGCACTCACCGGATCGTTCTCCCATCTCGCTGGTATGATCGGGCGTAACCTCTTGATGCAAACGGCTAGTCTCATCTCCTCGAAGTCGGGGTCGTTGGGCACGACGTCATGGTAGGGAAGGGCGTAAGGCTCCGCCGTAGACACCTTACCGCCCGAGGCGCACCTTCGGCAGACCTCCCAAAGGACGAGGCCAATCGAGTACATGTCCGCCATTTTAAAGGCGTCGAACGAGGACGTATTTAAGGACTCGTCGAGTACCTCCGGGGCCATATACCTGCGCGTGCCCACTCGTGTGTTTGGCGCAATGTCGATCTCGCCGGTTTCGCTGCAAACGCACGCGCCCAAGATTAATAATATGCCAGGGGAGGGGGATTGGACGGCGGCATCCATTCAGGGCCTCGCGTGGCACTGAATCGAGGGTCCGACCACGGCTCTTACCTGAGGAAGCGCACCGCGAGGCCAAAGTCAGCGATCGCGCACTCGCCGTTCCGCTTAACCAGTATGTTCTTGCTCTTGATGTCCCTGTGGGCGATGGCGGGCTTGCCCCTTGTGCCAAATATCTCGGTGTGCAGATGAACGATGCCGGATGCTATGGAGAGGCAGACGGCGAGGAGCGAGGGATGATCGAGGACCGTCGTCTGGAGATAGTCGTGGAGGGAGCCCCGCTCGTGGTAGTCCGTGATGAGGAGCATCTGAGTCCAGGAGCCCGTGCCCTTTATATCGGCGGCGATGAAGCCGAGAATATTGTCGTGCCTCATGAGAACCGTCTGGTATATCTCCGTCTCGCGGAACCAGGAAGCCTCCTCGAGAGTGAAGAAAACCTTGACGGCGACTTTCTCGCCGCGCCAACGAGCGAGCCAGACCTCGCCGTAGCGGCCCTTGCCCACGCACTGGGACAGGGCCAGCTGCTTGGCAATCGTGCGCTGAACGAGGAGCGGCAGCCCCGAACCCGATCCGCTGCTCTGGTCTATGAGGTCCTTGAGGGTGCCTTGGGAGGACACCAGGCACGGGCCGCGCTCCTTTCTACGATAGCGCTGATACACGAGGACCATCGCCAGGGTGAAGACGATCAGACAGACCGAGAGGGATACGGCGAGGACAACGAGGGGCGCCCCCGAACGCAGGGCCCGAGGATCCGGCGGCACCGTCGGTTTCGACTTGTACATCGGGAATATGTCCTTGTTGCAGAGGTCCGAGCCGTTGCAGCAGACTATGCTTTTACCCTGGAGGTGGGGCACCAGGTAGCCCTTACATTGCATGAAACCCTGCTCGTCCGGGGGTAGGCAGCCGAAGGACCACTCGGGAACGAGTTCCTCTGACTCAGCGTCCCAGACTTCCTCGACGGCGCTGAAGCAGTGGCCGCCCGCGCGACTCTCGCACGTCCCGTTCTGGCGATCGTCCGGGCAGTGGCCGTCGCAGTAGCACGTTATCGCTGAAACTGAAAACGGAAGCCGAGGCTTTAGAATGGGCCGAGCCCTTATGACGATGATCCCTAGCTAGGGACGCGTGCCTCTTCTCTCTCGGTTCCCCTTTACATCCTATCACAAGGATTCGACCATCTACATCAAATATACATTTCCCCGCCGTCTTCGACTTTTTCCTCCTGCAGAAATTATTACCCTCGGAGCACTTCCCTTAATGCCGTTTAATCGTAAAGTTTTACTGTAAAGTCTAAAGGGTTTCGCGATTGGCAGCCAAACTTATTGGACGCAATTATTCTAAATTGCGCGACAACGGCCGAACTAACGAAGTAACAATAATAGTAATCATGCATCGGTATGTTTATAGGATTAAAATTTGGACTATTAAAAGAAAAAAGAAAAATATTCCCTATATATATATATATATATATATATATATTTTATATATATTTATATATATATATATATATATATATATGCGATTTAAGTGAAATGAAAGTCAGTGCATTGGTATTTATAGTCTAGACTAGAATTCAAAAATATAATCAATTTTCATGCAAGAGGTCCCGACTGAAATTCGAGTCGTTATAGTATGCAGCTGAAAAACGTTGGTCAATAGGACAGAGTGAAGATAGAAATCCATAAGATTGTTATTTAACATTTACACGGGTATTCAATCATTAGTTCTTTTAAATCAGCAATGTTTATTATTATCGTCATATTAGATAGATAGAAAAAGAGATAGATAGATAAATGGAGAGAGAGAGAGAGAGAGAGAGAGAGAGACAGAGAGAGAGAGAGAGAGAGAGAGAGACAGAGTGTGAAAATGAAAATTTAATAAAAATTTCGATATGTCGAAAGCGTAACATTTTTCTGTTTAGAAAATAAACCTCGAGTGCAACGGGCTCGAGTGCATATCACAATGGAGCACAAAGAAAACAGTACGGAAGTACAAACGATGATTGTGGCGACGACGTAGTAGGTGATGGAGGGGAAAAGATTGCTCCTATTGAGATCCTAAGGAGCGTTCGTCAAGAAAAAAGGTACGAAAAGCGGGCGACGAGAGAGAGAGAGAGAGAGAGAGAGAGAGAGAGAGAGCGAAAGGCCATAAAAGAGCCAACAGGATACGAGCAGTCGAATGATAATGGTCAGGTCACTGAGGCTGTTCGCGTAGGCGGACGACCGCGACAGTAAGAGAGTGAGAGAGTAGAAGTGGGAGTGAAGAGAGAGAGAGAGAGAGAGAGAGAGAGAGGCACGGAAAAGGGTGCGCCCCTCGGAGATACGGCAACGAGCGATTACGAGTTCGCGAGACTGCACGTACACACACGCACGTATGTAGGAGTGGTTGGCTACGGTGAGTGTGCACGGAAATCGGCGGAGCGCCGAAAAATTACTCGCGTCTTCTTTCGGCGGACACGTGGACAAGGGAGGATTTTCGGAGGACTACTCGGTCGTCCACCTGAGATAAAATCCCCTGATTTTTCAGGCGAATAGAGCTATCGGGAAGTCCACTCTTTGCCCCTGGAGCACCGAGCGGCCGAACATCGGTGGCGTCGCGTGTGCGTGCACCGCGCGGATATTAATGTAATTCCGTTATGAATACGAGACGCTTTTCCTTATCGGGTTTCGCGCGCGCGCGCGTGGGAAAATTACACGGCGATCGAATGTACTTGGCTTGCATTACAATGCGCCAATGTCGTCAATATTGGAGAACGAATGGCCGATGACGATATTCTCTTCTTTATATCTTATGCTAACGAGACACACGTCGCGAGTCGCACGCCATTTTCTTTTTTTTCTTTTTTGTTTTTGTTTTTGTTTATGTTTTTTGCCCATCGATATCTCACACTTACGTCTGACATTTAATTCTAATGCAGAGGCGTAATTAATGGCTTTGCTCGTGGTATTGCTCGTATCGTTAAGGGTTCGGCGTCGATCGGATTTGTCGGGTACATTGTCGCTCGTTCGCTTTCCTTTATTGTACTTGTTGTTATTGTTTGTTTGTCTGATTTTTTTCGTTCAACTGTTTTTAGGGAGGACGGCAAGGTGTCTTAACAGTTTTGGTTAACGAAACGCTAGGGATCGTCCAGTTGTAGGATCGATTGGCCATTTCAATTTTTAGTATTAAAAATACAGGATTAATGGGTGATTATGGATGCACCTTGAAAGGCAATCAGGACAAGAGGATATAAGGCGAAATAGCTAGGCGAGCGTCGTCGGGGAACCCTGAATTAGGACAAAAATAATTTTAATGGATGTTTGGCCCGCGTTTCGCTCTGAATTAGCGGCGAGTTTAGTTTCGAAGCGAAAACCTTGGGGAGAGTCGTCGAGTGTCGGTGGCCAGTAGCCAATATAGCCAATATAACCAATATAGCCAATATAGCCAATATAGCCAATATAGCCAATATCGTCAATATAGTCAATATAGTCAATATAGTCAATATAGCCAATATAGCGAGTACGGCCAGTACGTGCCGTACGGAAGAGAAAAAATCTTTGTCGCGGAGAAAGGGAGCCGCCGGCTGGCCGGCCGCCGGTGGGAAAAGTCGTCGGAGTTAACGAGTAAGCGACGAACTGAAATGGGCGCGTTTGTTTGGATTCTGTTTTTGTTTACTATATATGTAAACGGAGCGCGCGCGCGCGCTTTAAATAAGGAGAAACGCGGGGGAGCGCTTAATGACGAATGGACTGGCGTTCGTTGGCGTTCGTTGGCGTCCTAACGCGTTACCGAGCCAATGTGACTCCCGATTAGGATGGCCTTTTTAATGGGTATCGCGAAAGGACAAAAGGCAGCATGAGAGAGCCATATAAACGAATGCGAAGAAACTGGTACGTAGAGTAGTACGTCGCTGCAATTTTAAGCGAATTCTAATTGTCAGTGGGCATGCGCGGAATTGCGAAAAACGGGCAACGCGAGCATCTTTTTTCCGAGGCGAATAGTGTGGGAAAACTTGAAAAATCGTCGACTGCAATTTTATCGAGGCTTTAATTGATTTCTTGTTGCGAGTAATTTGGACACTAGAGTCTTTTAATTTACTCGCATTTTCTCTCTCTCTCTCTCTCTCTCTCTCTCTCTCTCTCTCTCTCACACACACGCACGCACACACACACACAGGAATCATTTTACGAATTCTACAAGCGAATACATACATTATCGCTTATTGTTAGTCAATGTTCCAATATCACAGATTGCTCGTGCACGATGAATTTCAAATGTGAGATAATAAATTATTGTTTCATGCTCGTTTCATGCACGTTGGAAATGATACGTTCGACGAGTAAATTTAAAAGACGGATTTCGAATTAACGAATATTAATTCGATAACTAGATTGACATATGCAATAAAAAGGCTGCGCTGCTGGCCAAAGTGATAAATCTGACGGAAAGTGAAATTTCAACGAGGCAAATTAAAGGAGAGGAATTAATATGTAATTGCCTATTACACGAAATAATACTTTAACGTAACTATTCAATCGCTATTTATTTATTTATTTATTTGCTTATACGACGCGAGTGATTCAATTGGCTTAAAACGAAATAATATGATCTGGGATTTATAAATATTTGGTTATATGTTTTAATCGCTCACGTGATAATTGTACTTTTTATACAGAGAGAGAGAGAGAGAGAGAGAGAGAGAGAGAGAGAGCGCGTATTATTTATAATAGTGAAAGTCATTTGATAAGCAATGGTGGAGAGCTTTATGTAAGTATGCCCCTATCCCATGAAAAAATTATCATCAACTATCATTAAAATACAAAATAGTCGATGATGTATGCGATGATCATACGTATGCCGTTCACGCAGTTATTGTTTCGATCGCTTCACGGTGTTTGGTGCCAGAAAATGTAATTTGATTAATGCGAGAAAATTGTCCTCAAACGTACGAGGAGTCTCTTAAATTCTGAGCACGACTGAGTAATCGCAAAAACTCGTGACGTCGCCTTCCAAGCATAAATACAATTGTCGATGTACGGAGTTAATAAAAATCTTCGGGTAGACGACGTACGGTAGATAAAAACTGTCTGATGTATCGAGTAAACGAGATGAGATATAATCGTACTATATGCGGTGCCATATAAATGGGAATTTCTCGACTTGTAATGCGCCAATAATTAAATCTTTTTTCGTTCCATTGTTTTTTTTTTGTTTTTTTTTTTTGTACATCGGTAAAGCTCTCGTCGATAATTCCCTTCCACGTGCTCGACCATGTGCCATACGCTAAAACCCATGACGTTTACGTATCTCGGAAGAACTAGAAACAACCGAGCCGAATCGATTTACCAAATCTACGATGTAGATGGAAAAAGGTAAAGGGTAAAAGGTTGAAAAAAAAAAGAAAAAAAAAAAAGGAAAAGAAGAAAAAATAAAAAATTTTATCCAAGAAAATATGATGCATGATTCTGCTAAATCAAATATTTTCGTCTTGCCAATGAATTCAGAGTTATTTTTATCGATATGAGCATGTACGTAGTCATTGGAAAAAACAAAAAAACAAAAAAAAAAACAAAAAAAAAACAAAAAAAAAAACAAAAAAAAAAAAAAACAAACCGCATTAGTTATTTATTAATTTTATTCGAGATTTGTAATATTTTTGAAATTGTATAAAGTGCATTTGCATTTTGTGATACAAGTCTATTTATTCGTAAAGGAAAGAAAGAGATCAACTGAGACCGAGTCATAGCCTGAGTGTGAAGGTACGTGGGGGGTCTTGTGTGTCTCTTGTGCATATGGTTGCTTTGTTAGGTGACGACACTGACACAAACGTATCACGTATAAACTTGCTTTTATGTTCCTTCACAAATTTACGTAAAACTTCAAGCACTTATGTATTTTGATAGGCGGCCTTGGCAATTTCACTTTATTCAGACTTTTATAAAATTTCTCGTATAACGCGCTCGTACGTTAAATTCTCTTTGTGCGCTTGTTGCATCGAACGCATAGTCGATCTGATTAAAAAATTCACTTTGCACTTTATCTAAATTTCAATCTCAAATGCTTAAAAATACGTATGTC